AAAAAAATAGCTAATATGTATATATAATAGAATCCGAATGTCTCGTCGGTATCAAGTCGATCAAGTGTAACAAATGCAAATGTAAATTCGAAATATCCTATTGTAAATAATGTTGATCCAACAAAATCAAAATTAAATCCATCATTAATAAATGCAAACAATCGTTCAACAACAAATGATGAACGAACTCAAAATGAACCCGAAGATTTAATAACATCAACACAAAATCCATTAACTGATGAACGAATTCAACAATGTAAATATTTATAGTTTTTTTCTTGTTTCTTATTCATATTCATTTATTTTATCTAATCATTATTTATATTTATATTAAGAAGAACTTCATTGATTAGAAATAATCTTTTTCTTTTTGTTTCTTTTTATTTATCCTTTACAATTCAACTATTGTTTTGATATCAGTTAATAGTAGAGAAATATTTTCGATTTAATTAATATATATATATATATATATTTATAGAATTCTAATTAAATACTAGAGGAGAGAAATCTTGTTTCAGTCTCTAATTAACAAGCCTAATCGATCTGCGAAAACTATTTCTATAATGTCTGTTTCTCTATTAAAAAGATTTAATATTGTTGGTTGTTAATTTTGATAAAATAGTTAATAAAAAAAATTATTCTTATTTATGTTTAGTATCGGATATGTTGGATAAAATCTCAAATGCTTTATCACAATCAGATAAATCAAATGATTCGTTCGTATAAAAAAGTCTATATATTAATTAATAAATAAAATAAAAAAACAAATTTAGATTAAGAAATGAAATTGAATCAACAATAAATGAAGATGATATTGATGAAGCTGAAAAAGAATATAATCGTCTTGTTCCAGAATATAATTCTTTAATAGATTATCTTCAAACAGTTTCACATAAATTTACTTTACTTCAACAACAATTTAATGAAGAACAGGTTTTATTATTGATTTCATTTGTTTCTTTGCTAAATTAATAAAAAAAAACAAAAATCTTTCTTTTTTAGACAAATGAAAAAGCATCAAAAATAGTTGATGAATTTCTCAAATGTGAAAATAATGATGGATTTATAAATAAACGACAACGTCTTTTAGAATT